AGCACTTCTCTTCTTCTCCTTCTCTCTCTCTCATTCTCGGCCGATCCCAAACACACACACACACAATTCTCTCACAAGTCTCTCAAGGAAACTCCCTCCATTCTTCATCAAGATCTCGAATTTTTGAAGGTTTTTCAAGAAGATATTTCCACAAATTCTTCATCCAAGGTAAGATTATGCTTGGATCTATGATCTAGATTCTTTGTTTTATCAAAAACTCTTTCTAATCCATACAAAAATCATGATCACTCTCTTAGAAACTCCCTAAGCTCGAAGTCAACAAAGGAAGGCTTGTTAGGGCCAAAAACAACATCAAACTTCTTCCAATCTTCTCCAAAAAACAAAACCCAACTCAGTTCAGACCCCCTATTTTTCGGTTTTTATAAGTTTTATGGGGGAGAATACAAGCAAATGTGTAGATCTATGAGTATATGTATGCCTTGTGTGATTTTTATGCTTATATGTATGATCTTGTGTGATTGTGATGTTTATACTAGCCACAAGAACCTAAAAACCAAGATCCACAATATGATGAATGAAATAAGTATAACTTATACCATTTCACACTAATCAAGTCTAGAAAAATAACTTAGTTGGTTAATATGAACATGTTTGGACTTAAAACCCATTTTGGGCTCAAAATGCTAAAAATACAAAATTAAAGGGCCCAAAACGACAAAATACAAATTCTGAAGGTGGAGATGAGTCTAAACACTTTCTAATATGTTTTTTTCTGAAAATTAACACTTTTGAAGGGTTAAAAATGTGAAGTTTAAGCATAATGGGCCGAAATGGACTTTTCGTCCTAATAAAGCCCCAAATTGCAAGATTTTTGATTTGGAGGGGATGAAACTGCACATTTCTGTAAAACAGAGGATTACTAGTGTACCAAATCTATTTCAAGGGTCAAAAGTGCTTTTCAAATTAAAAAGGGACCAAAGATGCAAAAATTTTCCATTTTGGGTCAAAATTGTAAAAATTGCGAAAATGGAGGTTTCAACCGAGAACATGTCATTTTTGAAGGGCTTAAATTGTTTATTAAGTAAATTGGGGCTGAAAATGTCTTTTCAACAAATTTTGATAGTAAAGTGTCAAGAAAAATGGTTTAAGGACTAAAATGGAAATTCTTTTATATAAAGGGTTAAAAGTATAAATTTTATCCAAGAAGGGGCATCAAAACGAAAAACTCTAATGTTTAAAACAATAAATCCTTTAAGATAAAATACGAGTACCCCGGCTACCGGAAAAACGTAATACACCTACAACACCAAAATCGTTACCAAACGAATTGATTCGGTCTTGAATCAATAACGAATCAAAAATCAATAAACAATGATACTTCAATACACACGAGGAAATTCACGAGAAGTCAATACACATGCGGAAATTCACGAGAAGTCAATACACACGCGGAAATTCACGAGAAGTCAATGCACCATCTTTGGGCCCAAAAGTTTCAAATCGTGCTTGCTGGGCCTAGCTAGCCCAATGACATGATCTTTAGGCCCAAAGGAAACACGCTTACATGTTGTTGGGTCTTACATGACCTAATTCCGTGTAAAAGGACTTTCAATAGCTTTTGTGTTGTTGGGCCCCAAGGGTCCTTTGGTACTGCTAGGAAAGTCAAGAAGTCAAATGCGAGTCGGGTCAAGGGCCTTTCGCCTTCACGATAGCCTTGAACGACTTACGGAAATAACGGGGGCTTCACACCCTCTTTTCTCCTCGGTCGTGGGGTTATGAGAAGTCAGGGTGGTTGGATTAAGTGAGAAGTACGGACGACGCCTAAGGGATTGTTTGTAAAGTTGTAAACTAGTCATTTTCATTAATGCGTGCTTATAACGACTCAAAATCCATAATTAATCCAATGTCACCTGGAACTATAGAATACAACGTCGTATCGGAATAATAATAACTAAGCCACGTAATTTGATGTATTAGGAAAACATCAGGTTTCCCTAGGGAATTCAACACTTTCACCTATGTGATGCATACAAAGTCTAACAATTATTCACATTTACAAAAATCAACAAGCATACTTACGGATCTTCACACTTTTTCTTACTTACGATAATCTTTTCAGAAAATATCGGATTTTCTGGTGATTATCAAAATAATACAAATCATTACTTTTCAAACATTACTTATGAACTCACCAACATTTCATATGTTGATGTTTTTCCAAAATACTTGTATTCTTAGATAACAGGTAAATCGAAGAAAATGTATCCAGTGATATCATGATGTTTTGTTTAATTAATATCAACCAGTTTATGTTTTGAAACTGTAATGTGTAAAAACAATGTACTGAATGTAAACACTGATGGTTGTAATATTTCAATGCTTGGTGACGAATGATGTTATGATTCATGTATATTCATTGTGATGGTATTCAATTGCATCACAATAGCCCTCGGACGTTTCCGCCGTCTGGTTCGGGGGTGTGACAGCCTTATCCCTTAATTACAATTCAGATTACCTCAAGTACCACATGGGAAAAAGTTGATCAAAGACATAAATCGAAATGACAAGATCCATAATCTATATTGACCCAACTCACCGAGTTATACATCAACTCAGAAACGGGGAAAACCAAAACAACTCGCCGCGTTTGCCCAAGACCCAATAAATTAATGCATTAAGCTGCCTTCATTGAATCCAATAGATCCAAAGCTCAGGTCTCGACCAAAATGAGATATAGAAGGGTAAAGTTTCTAACTCTACCCCTAAGAACCACGGAAATGGGTTCAAACCCAAACCCTAGACTTAAAAAAGTGGGGGCTTAACCATTAAGCACTTAATTATCAAAGACAAAACCCCAAAATGCAGATCTAATCCCATAAGGCTAGATAGCCACATACAATTTCCAACTTTACACTTAAGTATGACTAGGGAAAGCTCAAAAGCTCAAAAGCTCAAAAGCTCAAAAGGGCTAAACGAAAGACTTAATGAATACATGAAGCCCTTAAATCCATAAAGTTGGCACCTTTATGCCAAAAGAGCTCATGTAGACCTTATATTTGAAAGAATAATCATTTAGGACATCTTAATCCCCAACATCCACCTAACTATGGCTAAAAAAACATAAACTCTAACCCAAGAAGAGATCTAAGCAACTAATAAGTAAGGTGAGAGCTTGATACCTCAAAAACTTGGCAAATGAGATAGAGATTCTGGATCTAAGAGTTCTTCCTCAAGCCAAGCAACTCTTAATTCCTTATCTCCTTCAACAAGCACCAAAAATGAACTCTCAAGGCTCTCCTAAAGCTCTTATACTCAACAATGGAAGATAAGGCTCGATTTAGGGTTTCTGGACAGAGAAGGCTGGTAAGGAGGCCAACCAAAGAACTTAAGGTCTTTAAATAGGGTGCAACACCCTAAAAATTAGGGTTTCTCAATCGGCGTCCAACTCGCTGAGTTCCCTTCACCAACTTGCCGAGTTGGTTCATAAAAACGCGTGACCTAAAGGCCTTCAACACGTCGAGTTTCCCACCATCAACTCGTCGTGTTGGTCCCTAGGAAAGGGGATTTATTTCCACAATTAATCTTCTAGATTCGGAGTGTTACAATCAACATAATAACTCCAAACTGTTTGGTATCATCATGTCTAGAAGACATGATCTCAAATGGTTATAAGCGACATTTTTCTGAGTGGACCTTTTAGGAACCACCACCTTTATATGTTCCCATTTACAAAAATGCCATTGACAAATGAAAATGTTTGTTCTCCTCGAAAAGCGTTCTTCACATGAATGTATCTAGAAATACTTCAATTATATTAGAAAACTCTTTCCTTACATGGGACAATTCAACTCTAATTTTCACATGTTCCCAAAAGTGTGACAAACCTTATATATGTGTATGTTTCTTGTTACATGTTCCATATTGTACTTTTCAAGAGTGATTTATTCCGTCTAACGTTTGTGAAAACATGGTCAGATAAAATCATTTAGGTCTTACTCAACAATCTTGAATGTTTGCATAAGTAGAGTAACTTATAGATGACCCCCTATTCATGTCTCCATGTTATTCCTATTTCTACAAGAAAATTTAGAATACTCTCGTAAGAGTCATATTCACAAACCAAGTGCATGATATGTCATTCGTGGTATATTTTGTGGAAGAAAAATATGCTAGTCCATTTATGTTATCCAATATGGTATTAGTAACATGTTGCATTGGTGTAACCATCCGAAGAAGGCCATGCATCCATAAACAATTCTGGATCTAGTGTTTTCACTTTATTTGGACAAACGCCTATGTCTATGTTTATCAATTATATACATTGATTCTAATACTTAGTTTCCTTACTAGTCATAGTTGTGTGTATTAAAAACATGTTGATATTATGCATTTTTAAGAAAAACATTAACTTCCTATGATCTATATCTCATATTAGATTGGGGCAACCTAAGCCCACTATCGCTAATGACAATGTACAATGATAAAGGTATCTACTATAATAAATGAATGTTTTTTTGCTACATGTCCTCTTCTCCTTCATTTGGATACTTGGTATTTTCTAAAATTTTTAAATTTTTTATTTTCTACTTGTCATTTTATTGTATTTTTCATTTTATTAAATTAAAATTCTACATTTAATGTGTAATGTAATATATATGTAAAATATTTATTAGAAAGGGTTTATATATGTAATGTATTCAATACATTAAAGTTTCAATAATTTTAATAATTCAATTTTTTTTTCATTTTTCTTATAAATTCAAACTTTTCAACTTTTTTAAAATTTCATTGTTTTTTTTTAATTAAACTCATTACATGGATCGCACACCTAATGATACGAAGATATAATGGTAAAACCAAATAAAACAATACATCTCTAAACTCAAAATATTCAGACAATAAAGGTTCGAAACCAACCGAATATGTTCCAAAAAGACATAACCAGAAATACTAAAAACTAATTCAAAATTAAAAAAATGGTAAACTATATATCACATCTTCAATATTCTCCAACAGTCTGACATAAAATTGTAGAACAAATCTTTTTGGACTAAGTTGTCATTTTTCCAAGCAAAGACATGTTTGGTCTTTTCAAATGATCACTTAGTTGCTAATGATAATTTTTTAAAAATAAACATTATTTGGGCTGTAAGTGACATTTTTTCTTCTAGAAGTACTAAAATTGTCACAGTGACTGATGCAAAGTATTACTATCAGCCCTCTCGACACAAAAACACACAGACACAGAAACCCCCCTCTCTTTCTTTTCACTTTCTCTCTCTAGAAGCGATGACGAGCCCTTCTGCTTCTTCTCGCAAGGTTTCCTATTTCTCTCTCTACATCTTTTTCTCTTCTTCTATCATATACTTTACATACGTATATCTGTAATTGTATATATATTATCTGTATATACATCCCTAATTTGAACGACTCCACTCAATTTGCGAATCCCTTTGATCGAGGGGCAATTATGTATGACGATCAGTCCTTGTTGGCTATAATTGCAGGCGCTGAGCAAGATCGCAACAAATCGTCTCCAGAAGGAGCTAATGGAGTGGCAGGTCAATCCACCTGCTGGATTCAAACACAAAGTCACTGATAATCTCCAAAGGTGAGGTGTTTATCGCTATTGCGACTGCTTGAGTTTAATTTTCTTTTGATTTAAGAGCTAATAGTTTGATTTTTTGGCTTACAGATGGGTAATTGAGGTCAACGGCGCACCCGGGACTTTGTATTCTAATGAAACGTTCCAGCTGCAAGTTGATTTTCCTGAGCATTACCCCATGGAAGCGCCACAGGTCACATAACTTATCATGATTTATTGATTTTTTTGGGAATTTATTGATTATCAACTGTAGGTAATATTGGGGTTAGTGAATCAAATAGTTGAATTTCTGAATTCTGAACGAAAATTCAATTTGGTGTGCGTGTGTGTGTGTGTTAGGGTTTCTCTATATGTCTAGGTGAAGAAAGAACATCCCTTAACCCTTATGTTCATACATAGAAAAAATTGTCTACTTGTTGTATAATATATACAATGTGTTTTTTTATCAATTACCTAATAAGTGTCTTTTTTTTAAGCAATTAGAATGTTAATTTCTCTTTTCGGATAACTAAACTATCATAATCTTTGATAAGTTTCTTTAAAAAGTGTCATAATATGTCCCATAAAAATCTCTACTCATCTGATATGAAGTCTACTATTTTAAAGGATATCACATATGACAAGACTTTCTAACATCAAGATTCAAGCCATTTTCATATCTATATGACATTTCATATGTGGTGGATAATTGATAAAATATTCTATGTCTATATCATTTATTTAAAATCTTTGCTTTCAGGATTTTCACTTCTTTTTTTTTTTTTAATAATCCAACATGTTGAGTAAATGATCTCATCGTGTGTCCGTTCAGCTCTTTTCTAGGGTTTGACCTTGCTAGGGTTTGACTTACTATGTCGTTATGTCTTTTTTCTTTTCAGATTAATGTTAATTGTTAATAAGTAATTTCTAATAATCTTTATCTTTCTTTTGTTTTATTTTGTTTTTTGACAGGTTATTTTTATTCCTCCAGCTCCACTTCATCCACACATTTATAGCAATGGCCATATTTGTTTAGGTTTGTCTCTTTACCCTTTTTTCACATCCATTTTTAAAAAAAAAAAAAAATTATAATAGATTAATCGCGTTATCATGAGAAAAACTAATTTTGTTGCCTAACTACAAGTTTATTTCAACATGTTTGTTTTTTATGCATCCGAAATATGTTGAAAGATTTTTATAAATGGATATGTTATATAAATGCAAACTAAAATGGTAAAACCCAAGTCTTATCAGGCTCTTACATTTAATTAATCATGTCCATAATTCCATATTCATCCACACTATCGAAAAAAATATAGTACGTTTTTTTTTTTTTTTTTTCTAATTTTACAGATATTTAATTTTACATTATGTTAAAAATGTTTTCCAAATTCCAAATATAGTGCCTCTATTCCATGAAAATATTTTTAATTGATTATGAATTTGGCATTGTTGGGTGCAGATATCTTGTACGATTCATGGTCACCCGCCATGACCGTGAGCTCTGTATGCATCAGCATCCTCTCCATGCTATCAAGCTCTTCTACCAAGGTTTGTTTCGAATTTCACATTCCCTTAAGCACTGTTTGTCACACAGTACACAGACATGACATGACATAACAAGTTGTACTACGTTTTACCTGTATTATACTTTACACAGTCCAAGACATGACATGACATGACCGGCATTAGGCTTTTGTTACACGGTACAGGACAAGGCTATGATTGACAGAACAAGTTGTATTGTGTTTGTCCTGCATTGGACTTTTGTTACACGTGACATGACAGAACAGGTTGTACTGTACTGTGTTTAGCTTTAGTCTGACGGATGAGTTTGTGTGTGGTACAGCAACGTCCAAATGACGACGAACGCTACGTGAAGAATTGTAGGAATGGGAGGTCTCCCAAGGAGACGAGATGGTGGTTCCATGATGATAAAGTATAATGGATTATTAATGAGGAAAACTTTGTAAAACAAAGTCCAATCTTTCTCTTTGATTTAAAACCTCATGAGGTTTAGAAAGGATGGATATGGTTCCCTTTCCTTTTTCGTGTCTTAAAAAAAAACTAAGATAAACTTTATATTTAAAACAGTTTCTAACTTAAGAGAAGATTTGGGTGAAAATTGAATGGCTTATCTTATGTACTTGTAAAGTGGTAAGCATTTATTTCTTTTGGCATGAAAATGCAAGCTCACAAAAGTTTTATAGTATTATTATTATTATTATTATTATCTTATGTACTTGTAAAGTGGTAAGCATTTATTTCTTTTGGCATGAAAATGCAAGCTCACAAAAGTTTTATAGTATTATTATTATTATTATTATTATTATTATTATTATTATTATTATTTTTGAATTCGATAATCTACAAAGAAATAGGGAATGGATATTAAAAAAGTTTATCAAAACGTTTATGGATAATATGTTACCGAGGAATTTACAAAGTGGAAAGGTTCATGTATTTGAAAGTATTAAAATATCAAGATATAGCTTTTTATATAAAGGGTCCCTATTTTATTTTAAGGAGGAGGATTTTTCTATTTGAGAAATTAGTTAATCCAAATGAAATATATGGTTCATTGATTTGTATGATAGTTACAAATATGTTATATTTTATATGGATGAACCAATTTCTTAAATGAAAAATAATACATACATTAGTGACAAGAAAAATACTCCATTGATAAAAAAATATATATATATATATATGAGAGATGTATTAGAAAGTATAATATTGATGTCCGTTTTTTCCTAAGAAAATATTTCATTTTTACCTTCACTAGTCATTTATCTGTGCAAAACAGTAAACAGCAAAATGCAAATTTTTGTTGGAAAAATCAAGTCAATATGGTGTCAATTAAGTTGCTATGGTGTTGATTGGTTGAGGCGTTTACTTATCTTATTATCTATTTCTTTTTCAACTTTATGTGCATGGTTCTAATTAAACAACGATCTCCATCTAACGAGGTATAATTTTGTATTAAAATACCAAATTTTGTTTTCCTGACATACCTTATAACCAAAATTCAATATCGCATTAGATATTTTCCATCATAATTCAATATCGCGATACATATTCTCCAAGTAACGTTAAGTAGGGCTCAAAGCTTTACATCCACACCACTTAAAATATAGCAATCAACTGTATATCTGAACAATCATTTGTAAATAGCAATCAACTTAAGGTCTTCAATGATGGGATTTCCGAGAATAAAGATACAAAAGGTCTAGCTCCAATGAGTTTGAACTATAAAATATAGCTTACGCTAAAATAGATGCGTTTATTTCAACTTTATACTTAGACTACAAATATTTTCAAGAATAATTTTCACTGTTAATCCAATAAAGATTTCCTAAGTATTAAAGGTTAGAGAATATACGACTATTATATACCTAAGAGTATATATTGTAAATAAAACCCTCCAAACTACATAGTTTTGATTCAAATATATCCAAACTAATCGTATTCTTCTTAAACTCATGTACCTTCCGAAACCAATGGAATCTATGTTACTCTTCATTGCGTCTATAAACCCAAATCATTGAAAGGCATAATTACTAGTTCCTATCAATTTTAAAATGGAAAGTAATATAATAGAACTACAAACCAACATACAAATCATTTAATAAACGTTTTGATAAATGTTTTGGATAGAGTTTTTCTATGGAAGGACAACATGTTTTGAGTTATATTCATTAGAAAGATATTGTATTTTTTTTTTTTTTTGATGATTTTTTGCGATAAAAGAATTATGTAATCGATTTTTTTTTATTCCATAATTTGACTCAATCATGTGTATTCTTATTTAAACAAAATTCATAAAAAATAGAATTTGATTTGTTTGCTTAAAACAATGTCCTTATAAAATATTTTTATATCTAAGTTAAGTACATATTAACTATATATATTCATTTTTTTTCATATATTAGATTATTATACTAATCTTAAATATATTTCAATATATATATATATATATATATATATATATATATATATATATATATATATATATATATATATATTAATCATATCTTTAACTTTAAGAGGTATAAGATACAAAGTTTTTTGTACAAATCAGTTATACATAAATAAATCATTAATACTTGTCAAAAGTTTGAATACTTATTAAAAAAGGTTACCAAGAAATTTAATTTTAAGAAAAATAACAATTTTAAAATATTATATTCATTGTTATAGTGTAGAAACATATAATATAAATATAAGTTCTAGACATATATGTTTTATTCAAAAATGATAATTTTTTAATATATAATAATTAATAATAAAATCTAATAATTATTTCTCCGTAAGAAAACAATTCGTCAAAAGAGTTATTTATAGCCGATGCTTTGCATGAGCAAATATTAAGTATGTGCGTATGTATACATACATACATACTGAAAAATAAAAGTAAATATAAAAAGGATGAAAGAGTCATTTCAATTTTGGAAGATACTAAATCCACAATAAAACTAGAATATTTTGTTTGGATAAAACCGAAAAATACCATATATCCAATGTTTTTAAGGTTTGGATCTTTTCCTGAAAAAATAAATACCGAGACAATTTTGCAGCTCAAGAATTAAAAGTATATGTTGAAACTTATATCTAGACTAAAAGGGAGTAATATAAAACAAATCAAAGGTTAGGAGTATCCTATAGGTTAGATAATTTAGTTTTCTTTGTAAGTTGTTCAGATTTAGACCTAATTTAGACCTAAAGTAATAAACAATGCAAACTACAAGGACCAAAATGGTAATGCACTCGTTTTTTAAGGTACCGTTTGGTATGTGGATTAGACTGGACTGGACGGAACAAAACAGAACTGGATTGGACTGAACAAGTTACTTGTACAATGTTTGGCAAATCTAGAACATGGTGGAACAAGATACTAAAATTACTAAATTATCCTTATGCAATAACCAAATAGCTAACATGTATTCATAATTAACTAGTAATAAGAATAGTAAATCTTCATTAAATAAATACTAAATCAAAAAAATCGACCAGTAACAAATTAAAACTAGAAAACACCTAACTAAAAACATTGATGTTACATAAAATAATATCTGATTAAATGGCATATATAATCTCATAGGATGCTAGTGGAAATGTATTTAGTCGGTGCACATGGATTGGAATTGTATCCATCTTTACTTTATTTATTTCTTCCTCACGATAAACAAGGGCACCATCTTAACCAACGTCACACACCATTTAATATTTATCTCAAACTCTGTAAACACCGACTTGAAAGTCAGGTTCCGCACCATTTCAAACGTTTATCCATCATCTAAACCTGATACCATTTAAATCCTCCACCAAACAGCGTATGAGGTAAAGCTCCATTATCAATAAAAAGTATTGCTGAAAGAAGAAACCATCGAGACAGAAACGAGGAAAACACCTCTGGTAATGAGTGAAAGATTTCGACATATATAGAACAAACTTTTGTTTCTCCTCCCAAAAATGAGTGCTTAAACTCTTATTTACATCGTGAGAGTTTTCAGATTACGTCGATTAATTTTTTTTATCTTGAGCACGGGTGTTGAATGGAACATGTATGCAAGGAGAAAATGAGAAAGTTGCAGGACCAGAATTTTGAACGGGGCGTGTGTTGTGTGAACAGGTGAAGGAGGTTCACTGATGGTGGCAGCAGTGAGTTTAAATGGGGGAAGGGTTAAGGTTATCGGCGGAAGGTGAAAGGAGTGGTGGTTGACAATTTAAACGCAACAAGGATATGTTCGTCAATTTTGTTTAAGTTGCGACTTGCGGGGAAAATGACCTTTGAGGGTAATAAAGTGTTCTATAAGTACTCATTTGGTCCCTTATCTTTTTTTTTTTTTTTTTTTTTGTCTTTATTATACCACTGAACTTACTAATCTTGCTCACCAAAACCCTCGATACCGGTTATCACCTGTTATACCGGTTATCTCATTTAAGTAGAGATGACATGTCGTATTACGTGGACCTAGACCACGTTGCAAACCCATTACTCTTTAACCCCCAATTCTCCTTACACTTAGGGTTTAATCGAAGAATACAGTTACGAAATTGAAGAGAAGTGGTGAATGCGAGTGTTACAGTGAAGAAGATGGCCTTCGATTCCAAACTCCGTAAGTATTTGACAGTTTATGTACATTATAATGGTTTATTTGCACCAAAATCATTAGTGTACTTGAACTTTGTTGTTGTTTCAATCGCTGATGTTGATTTTGGTGGAATGGATCTTAAAGATTTTAAGTTGTTCATTGAAAAGTTGATTGAAGGCAGTTGCGATAATGTATATTATTGCACTAGAAATGAACCATTGGCAGAGGGTATTAGGAAAATTGGGAATGATGCTGACTACTATTAGTTTATTGAAACGGGTTATAGTGATGAAGTTGGTCTAACAATGAATGTGTATATAGACCACGAAAATGAACCTGTACTTGATTGGGCTGATATGGAAGTAGTAGAAGATGATGAAGGGCATTATTCTGAGCCAGACGTGGATGATGATAAAGAGTCACAACTTTCTGATGATATTCCATATGAGCATGAAGCAGATGGTTACATTCCTTCTCTTGACAAAACTGTTGGTGATGAATTCTTAGACCGGGTGTCAGGTATTTCTAAGGATAAAAATGATGAGCTTGAAACTGATGAGGTTGAAACCAACAATGGGGATGACAAACCAGTGTACCCTATCCATAATGAGAACCAGAAATGGGACAAAATGGTGCCAATTCTAGGTATGAGATTCTCTAACCCTATGGAATTGAAAAATTGTTTGACTAACTATGCAGTGAAGAATGGGTACAATCTTTATTATGAGAAAAATGATAGTCACAGCTTATTAGTGAGATGTTGTAAAGATAGCAAGAACCCATCTTGTCCTTTTAGACTGTGGGCTTCCTGGATGAGTAGTGAAAGGTCTTTCCAGATTAAGTCCTTAGTTGATGACCATAATTGTTCAAGAGTCTTCAAATTTGGTTCCATTGTAACATATAAATGGATTGGAAAACATTTTAAGAATCAACTTTTGAAGAACCCCAAAATAAGCATAAGGAAAATGAAAGCCAAAGTGAGTACAAAGTTTAACTTGATTGTTAGTGTGACTCAATGTAGAAATGCTAGGAGATATGCTTTGGATGAGATAGAGGGCAACTTGATAGAACATTATGGTAAAGTATGGAGTTATGGTGAAGAAATAATGAGGACAAATCCTGGTTCAACAGTAAAGATAGATGTGGATGTCATGCCTGATTCCACCACTTACTTTTCTAAAATGTATGTTTGTTTTAAGGGTGTGAAGGATGGTTGGATTGCAGCATGTAGGAGGGTAATAGGGGTAGATGGTTGTTTTTTTAAAGGGTATATGTAGAGGCCAACTGTTAGCAGCTATGGGTAGGGATGCAAACAACCACATCTTCCCTATTGCATGGGCTGTGGTGGCAGTAGAAAATAAGGAAACATGGAAGTGGTTTCTTGACCTCCTACTAGATGATATTGAAATGGGAATTGGTCATGGATTGACCCTCATATCAGACCAACACAAGGTATATTTTCTTTTATTTTTTTGTTTGAGTTCAATGTTTTTTGTTATGTCATCCATTTATTGTTTCTTTTAGGGATTGGTAGAGGCTATCAAAGAAAGAGTTCCAGCAGCAAAGCATAGACAATGTGCTAGGCACATCTATGCTAACTTCAAGAAAATATTCAAAGGTGAACAATATAGGACGTTGTTTTGGGCAGCTGCTGCAAGTAATACTCAACCTAAATTTGAGACAGAAATGAATTACATAAAAACAATTGACCCTTTAGCTTATGAACACCTCATGGAAAGGGACCCTAAAAGTTGGTGCAGGGTATTCTTTGAAGTGGACAGGGCTCGTGATGCTTATGAGAATGGCATATCAGAAAGTTTCAACTCTGTTATTGATCTTGCTAGGAAGAGACCACTCCTCACCATGTTGGAAGAGATTCAGATTTATGCAATGGAGAGGATGTATAGAATGCTGCTAGAGGGACAAAGTTGGGGTAATTTAAAAATATGCCCATCTATAAGATTAAAGATATCAAAGTTAAAGAAACAGCAAAGGTATGATATAACTTGTATTTTATATGTATTAATATGTCATCTAGTAGATTAATAGAATTTGTTATTTTTGTGGACAGATTTTGGGGAGTTATACCTTCTGGGTACAAAAATATGAGGTTAGGATTGGAAATGATGGATATGCTGTGGACCTTAACAACAACACATGTGGATGTAGATCTTGGCAAGTATCAGATATCCCATGTGTGCATGCAGTGGCAACCATTTCATACCTCAACAGGAATGCAGAGGATTATGTTGCACCATGGTTCCATATAACCATGTTCTTGACTTGTTACAACCATACCGTTAACCCACTAATGGTAGTTCCATGTGGCCTGAGGCTCCCTACATGAAGCCATTGCCTCCTCAAAAAAGAAGGTTACCAGGAAGGCCAACCCTTAAAAGGAAAAAGGATCAATCTGAGATGGAAAGCAAGGGGAAAAGAAGGCATACTATCTCAAAAGCAGGTTTAGTTAATAGATGCACTATTTGTAGAGAAAGGGGCCATAATAGATCAGCATGTCCTACTAGACCAGCAGATGTAGCATCCACTTCAAGGCCAAAAAACAAGAAACCTAAAAAATGTAAAAAAGAGAAAGGTATGATATTAAAACAATATAATTTAAATGGAACATCCAACTCATTAACTACATATTTGTATAGCAGGTAAAGTGGAACCAGTTCAAGTGGATCCAGTTCAAGCAGATCCAGTGGATCCAGTTCAAGTACCAGCTCCAAATGTTGAACCAATTCAAGCAGATCCAGTGGATCCAGTTCAAGTACCACATGTTGAACCAGTTGATGATCCAGCTCCACATGTTGAACCAGTTCAAGTAGATGATCCACATCCAAATGTTGATGTCCTTGCTCAACCAGTTGCAACTAGGAAGAGGAAACGAAAATACTCAGAAAGAATTACCAAGATAGGGTTGAGGAGGAAGGTTTTGAAGAAAGAAGGAAGCACTGGACACAACCCAATGGTGTTGGAATGATTTTATGTTTTATTTTTTTGGAAAGACAAACTTTTAGTCTTGTAATTATGTAATTGGGAAAACTTTAAGAATCATGGCACATGGCACATCTTTTGACATATTAGGACAACTGTAGGCACAGCTTTTGCAATAGTGCACATGCTGATGGAATATTACAACTTTGTCTTTTATCTATATGCTTTGGTGTACGATTATTTGCATATAGATTGTTTAATCTTATATTATCTATCATAAATCAAGTAGATTTAGTATTAATACATTAAGCAATGTTTGATGTTGTTGTTGTTGTTGTTAATATGGACCATTTTACCCTTGGATCACATCAAGACATTAACAATTGATTACTGCCAAATTTAATTTGGACCATTTTACCCTTGGATCACATCAAGACATTAACAATTGATTACAACCAAATTTAATCTGGACCATTTTACCTTTGGATCACATCAAGACATTAACAATTGATTACTGCCAAATTTAATCTTGACCATTTTACCCTTGGATCACATCAAGACATTAACAATTAATTAATGCCAATATTTAGTCTTAATACATTAAGAAATGTTTGATGTATCCAATGTGGTTAATATGGACCATTTTACCCTTGGATCACATCAAGACATTAACAATTAATTACTGCCAACTTTAATATGGACCATTTTACCCATGCATCATGTCCAATTCACTAACCTGTTAAACACATTAATACTTCTTGGAAAGCACTCAAAACATCAAACTATCATTAATCAAAACGATTTAGTCTTAATACATCAAACAAATTACAACATTAAGGATTACATTTAGTCTTTGAATACAGCTAAACTAACTAGTTCTTAAACACAAACAACAGAAACAACACAATCATCACAACTTTATGAGTAAATAACTTCCATTTGAGGTTTTCAAACTCTTGTCTAACAACCAAGTTTTCTTGTTCCATCTTCATCTTACAAATGCTGATCTCGTTTTCCAATATAGAAACTTTGAGGGTTAAATTGCACAGTTCTTTTTTGTCCTTCCCAGAATTGACTTCATTTTCAGGGGTTTTAGGCTCCAACCATTCTCAGAACTTGCATTTTGGTCCTTCATTCTTGAAAAAAGTAACAATTGGTTAAAGAAAGATGATTAAACGAAAAGTAAAAAACATTTGGTTCGTGAAGAAGATTAAACGAAAAGTACAAAACATTTGCTTTACCATGGAGTTAGGGCACAATCTGAATTTTTTTCCTGGGTTGTCTTTAGTTCGTGAAGTTCGTACACGAGATGGTAACCCACAGTAACAAGGATTTTCAGGTTGAAATTCAGCATTTTGTTTGGAAGAAATAGAAGAAGAAGAAGAAGAAGAAGAAGAAGCATCCATGTCGATCTAGGGCAAGAACGATGCAATACTGCAACTTTGCAATTAATAAGCCCAGTTTATCGCACATAATGCCACGTAATATCCACATAACTAGTAACCTACAAAAACCGGTATCAAGGGTTTTGGTGAACAGGATTAGTAAGTTCAGTGGTATAATAAAGACAAAAAAAAAAAAAAAAGATAATGGACCAAATGAATACTTATAGAACACTTTATTACCCTCAAAAGTCATTTTCCCCGACTTGCGATGTGTTCCACCCTTTTGGGTGGGACTAAAATTTTATCATTTAGTCCCATTTCTTGTTCCAGATATGCCAAACCACCCCTGAAGAAAAAATGTTCTGTCCAGTTCCATCCAGACATGCCAAACGACCCCTGAATAAAAGATGTTCTATCCAGTTCCATCCAGTCCCACGATGCCTAAAATATGGTATAATGTTACGGGATAGTTATAGACTACTCCCCTTTGTATCCAAGCTAACTTTTATATAAAAATTAATTTCTTTTTCTCAGATCTATATAATTCAATCAAATTCAATTATTCATATCCATTAACAATTCAATCAAAACTTAATTTTATTTAAAAAATATAATAAAAATAAATTGAAACTATATCAATATTATAATTTATAGAAAACAAAAAATCATGAATTTTAGTATTTTTTATTGAGATAAAATTGGTTTTTTAATGATAATAGTTTTTATCAAAAAAAATTAATATATCCATCACCTCAATAATACGTGACATCAAAATAAGTTGGTAACCTATATAATTTTCATACCAACGGGGTAGCCTTATAAGCTTTAGTCTTTTTTTCCTTTTTTTTTAATTTAACTAATTTAATTTTTAACAACAAATTTAATATACTCATAAACTACTCTTGAAATACACCTATTTTCATGATGAGACTTGAACCGTCGACTTTAAGATGGAAGGACAACACCTAGCATGGTTGTGCAAGAGGTGTTTTGATAGTTAAAAGTTTTTAGTCAATGAGTATATTATATATTAGTTGTGAGATTCGTGTACTATATGAATTTATTAAAAAACACGAGTTTATTTAAAAACATAAGTATAAAGGTCTAAACATTTAACAATTTGAATTTAATGGGAAAATAAAACAAATATAGAATTATTGAAATTGATTCATTTCTTTTTTAAATTTAAATAAAAATTTTAAATAAATAATCAAATTAAATCATTCGTCTTTAATTTAGAAATTTTTAAATTGAAAATACTAATAAAATTGATATCAGTTTATTATTACAATTAGCACATTTAAATAGTATGTGGAATTTAATAAAACAAAAAGAAAAATCATAAAATGACATATAGAAAAAAAAAAATACAATTTAAAATAACCACAAAATTATATGTGACAAAATGAATAAAATTTTGACATGTGACAAAAAATATTTATAATTATTAGGATAGATAACATCAAGTATGTGTGCAATAAAGCTCTCCTGAACTTCTATTAGGAGTGAATATGGTGCGGTTTGGTGCGGTTTTAGGGTCAAATCGAAACTATAAACCGCAATGTGCGGTTTTTGCATTCCGAAAACTGTTGGGTACGATTTTTCAATGGCTCGGTTTTACGGGTTTTGAATACGTTTTCGGTTTGTATCGGTTCGGTGTCGATTTTAAACCGATTCAAGCATATGGTTCGGTTTTATATTTACCTGTGATGATCATGTGGGGATGTATGATTGTATGGTGTTTTCTCCTCATTTTTGAAACTGTGTCGTCTCCTTATTTTTGAAACCATGGTTTTGAGGTTCATTATTTCATTTGCAACCCAAAGTTTCGAACTCATTTTTACGTTCGATTTATCAGCATGCTGCTTACATAGTGGTTACACAAACTTAGAAACTCAAACTCAGAGATTTGAACCCAATTACGAACCCAATTACCATCAATTTGAACGTATCGTCAATTTCATTAATACTAAACCTAACTATCATCAAATTCAACATATAATAATATACATAACAGTATATAATATAAATTAGTTATTTATGGTTTATACACATGTGGAGCAGATCGGTTTTGGTGGACCGATTTCTAAATAAAAACCGCACCGCACCAATAGTTTCAGTTTTGAGAAAATAAAATCCGCACCCTTGGTTTTTGCATAAGTTTCGGTTTTTCGGTTGTGATTTTATTAGTTTCTTTTTGTCGGTTCGATTTTTGCTCTCCTCTAACTTCTATGTAATATATTGATATTGATATTTTACCAGGGCTGGTCCAAAGATATAGCGAGCCCATGACGAAAAGAAAAAATAGACCCAAAAAGCATAAATATATTAAAAATTAAATTGAAAACAGACACACTGATATAAAATTCACTATTAATATTGAAAAACACAAATATGGTCAAAACATTGCAAAAACATCTCCTAACATTTTTAAATAAGTTAGTTTTTTCACTACATAAATATACCATATAATTAAGAAATTTTAGAAACATTAGAAACATTAGAAACATGAGCTCTGAACTGTCGCTCGATCGGGGTACCCACCGCCAGGGCCGGGCCTGTGTTCTACAATGATCCAACATAACCATCACAATTTTTTTTCATATATCTAAGGTTTTGTAATATATTTAATGACGTTTATTCCTCCAAACAGTCTAGCACTCTAGCTAGCGTTGTAAATGGATAATTACAAATTTAAGCAGAACAGTAAAAATGTTTTAACGGACATTGTTTTGGGAATAAGCACATCATATCCAATATTAAATCTCACAGCATATCTGTTTTTTCAAAGAAATTGTAAATATAATTATTTAGATGACCTTCCGTTGATGACCTCTATTGGCAACTTTTTCCTACCAATATTCAGTAGAATGATCTAAGCAACAGCTAAAAAATACTGAATGTCTTTAAGTACAGCTTAAAAGACATACTAAATGTTTGGGTTGTTTTATTTTAATATTTTGTAAATATTATTTATCGTTAAAAATAAATATCGGAGTATACTTTAATGAAAGCATTTGGATATGAAATACACTTTAATAATGAAAAGTACACACTTACATACCAAGAGCTAACACATATTCTCTCTACTTATGATATTTAAAAAAGTAAAACTGATCAATATCGATTGTTATTGAATGAGAAACTTGCTCATCATAATCAGTATTCCGTATATTATTATTTACGCGACCAAAAACGTAGCTTTGTCTTGAAAATTTTCGGGATAATGCCATAGTACTTGATTTTAGACACTATCACAAAAAATATTCATTGTATAGAAAACTTGCATACTATATGTTTAAAAATATTTTATATATTATCAACCATGCTTGATCAGCAATTTGCAATTTGGATGCTAAAAGGTCAAATTGTAGGCTACATCATTAATTAATGCAATCACAAACCAAATTGATAATCCTCTTTGCCTTTAAAACCACCAACACATTGAAGGAAAGAAATAAATTCATTTTGATAGATATCGAAATGGGTTTCACTAGTAATCTTGCGTTATCACTTTTCCTACTATCACTGTTTTTGGAAGGTTCGATGGGTCAATCAGGGTGCACGAATGTTCTCATTGGAATGGCTCCATGTCTAAACTATGTTACGGGAAGTTCCAAAACACCATCTTCTTCTTGTTGTTCATCTCTTGCAAATGTTGTTAAATCACAACCACAGTGCCTTTGCAATGCCCTTGATGGTAGCACTATGGCGTCACTAGGAATCAGTATCAACAAAACTATCGCATTAGCACTTCCAGCTTCATGCAATGTGAAGACCCCACCTGTTAGTCGATGTGGTGGTATGTATAATGTATTGATAGATTTGTATATATTCACATGTTTATCTTATTAATTGTTATAATGATATATTTGATACTATATATAATTAGGTGGAAATAATGCACCAGTGATGGCTCCAGTTAGATCTCCCGAACACTCACATGGTGAATACTTGAATGGACCTTCATCAGTCAGCATATTTTTCGAAGGTATGAGTTCATATGATGTTTATATATATTATGCTTATAACAAGATATATATAACTATAAAGCAAATCCAACGTGGTGAAATTAACTTTTGTACATGATATGTAAACAGGATCCAAACAAGTTATGTCAACCGGTGAAACATCTGATGCTGCTTGTTTACGTAAGTATATGCACCACATGGTCTTATCAAGTATTGTGGTTATGGTAGGTTTTCTACCTTGAAGGCTTGAAGTCTTGAGTCTACTATAAAAAAAATAAATGATGTGTGTTTGCAATTATGTGTTGTTTGTTGTTGTCTTTTCATGTTATCTATTAAGCATGTAATGTTGTTTTGAGTATTTGTAATCGATGTTTCTTCCACGAGTCTCCACTTGTATTGTATGGTGAAATTTGGTTCCCTTTTATAAAATTTGTGAGCAATTTCAAATTCGTCACGTGTTGTATCATTATTTCCCATTTCTTATCATTGTTTTGTTTTCTTCTATAAACCGTAAGAGCTCAACTTCACCTCATTTTTTGCAGTCTTTGTTCCTAAGATGAGACTTTTATGGGCTTTTCAACTCCTAATAAATTAAAATAAAAGGGAAAATTCTATATATATATCATTGCAAATTTTAAATATTACTTCAACATCCTTATATATTTTAATAGTACATCATTTGAAAACTGTAAAAATTACATCAATATCCAAAATCATATTTTAATTAAGATTATATATATCAATTGATTATTATTATTTTTTTTATCTAATATTCGAAATTATATATTAATTTACCAATTTACTTTTTCCTATTTTTTTTAACCGATAAATATAAATATATATAATCTACCCCTAAACTAATACTTACTATGACTCGATTTGAAAGGGACACTAGAAGCCCTTTGCGATTAATAAATATATATAATCTGATTCGTGTCTATTGATTTTGATAAAAGTCAAACATAGGATATTGCAATAAGGTTTTACAGATTAATTTTTGAATGAATTATGGTGCTTTTAAGGTTATGCAAACCGATTAAAATTAATTTAATCAAGATGATGTATGTTGTGACGAAGAAGATACGAAATTAAGCACTTTTGGAGTTGAAGAAGACAACACTGATGGAGATCAAATACGAACGGAAGGAGATGTCAATATTGAAGGTGCCTAGTGATTTAATTAGGAAATGGTAAATTGGTAAACTAATATATAATTTGAATTTTAGATAAAAAAAATTAATAAAAATTGATATAATCTTAATTAAAATATGATTTTGGATATTGATGTAATTTTTATAGTTTTAGAAAAATATGCACGTGATATTAAAAGTTTATAAAGATATTGAAGTAATATTTAGAGTTTGCAACGATATATATATATATATATATATATATATATATATATATATATATATATATATATATATATATATATATATATATATATATATATATAAAAGAAATAATTTTTTGTATGTTTATTAGTATAATCATAATACATCTTTATTGTTTAACAATGATATTGATACATTCTTTTTGTAATAATTTTAAAAAAAAAAAAAAGACCTAATATGGGTATTTATCTTTTTGTAAATAAATATATAAGTGTTTATTGTGATATATTTTACTTATTAATATTAATATACTAGTTTATAACCCGTAGAAACCACGGTTATAAAATTAATTAAACTTTTATAGTAAAAACTTAAAATTATTAATCAATTATTTTAAATAAATTATTTATTTAAAAGATATTTTTATTAGTTATGTGAAATTATAATCGTTGATTCAAATAAATATGTAAAATTAATTTTTAATATATATTAGACATTTTTTATTTGTGAATTAATGAAAATAATAATATAAAAGTCAAATTTAAAATAAAGAATAAATACATTGACAAATAACATCACATTAATAAGGAGGTCTAATAAATTTAAAATGGAAAACTAATAAATTGATAAATGACAAAACATTAATTAAGAGGTATAATATGATAACACATGACAAAACACTACTCTTTTATTAGTATAGGAAGAGGAAGATTTTACTATAATTTAAGCTTTAATTAAGGAACAAATCATGTATATACTTTTTTGACATACAAATTGAATTCAAACCCAAAACCTTTTGGGTTAAGGATAAATACAAAATCTTCTTTTTGATTCGCTGCCATACGAATTAATTCTTTTTGTTTGATAATTAAGGTGGAGTGTAGGAAATCGCGTATCTGATGCACGATTTATTCGAATGTACAAATAACTGATGCACGGTTTATGCATCAGCAGCTTGTAATTGACATCTTCACCACCTTTGTAGTACAACTCTTGTAATTCTTTGTAGCTGTCGTAAAATGCTTTAAATATCAAGCTTCTCCCCATACGTCAAAATTCATTTAAGATTATTTTGTCCGATATCTATACGTCAAAAATTTATGAAAAACACTTTAAATAAATAACTAAATAAATATCGTGACTATATTTGTCACCCTATATAACCAAAAGTTTATATATATATATATATATATATATATATATATATATATATATATATATATATATATATATATATATATATATATATATATATATATATATATATATATATATATATATATAAAAGGTTGAGAATGGGGGAATTATTCTCAGCCATTCATTTAATCTAAGCATAAAAAGACATGGTGACAAACTTGTAAATATATAAATAACCTTCAATCTCAAATACGTAACTATAGAGAACTCGATAACAGTTCATTCATCATCAAAATTTCTCCTCCAACCTTCAACAATCATCCAGATTTCTTCAACTAAACCATCATCAATGTCATCTAGTGTTAATCAATTCACCGTTTAAGACAGATTCGCAACCCAAATTCTTCAATTTCATCGATTTGTTAAAGTTCATAACAGATTTGGAACTGGAATTTCCCATATTCGCAAATGATATCAGTTGGAATCGGAATTTCTTCGTTGTTCATGAAATTGGAATCGGAGTTCTGGACTCGTAGTCACCGTCGACATTGAAGGACTCAGAATCGGTACTCACAGGTTCCCAATCGGACTTTCGGAAATCAAAATCAAAATGAGAAGTCGATCATGATTGGTTTTGTACAAACAATCCTATGTGTGCATGCAACCCTAGAATTGGATCTATGTTTTCACTATTAGATACACCACATTATGAACACATAAAGGAACCCTAGTATGCTCTAGTATTTTCGAAATTCATATAGTAGATTAGATTACATACCTTTTGTTGTTATATTGCAATAACAACTCAAATCTTCAAACCCTAAGTCTTGAAAGCAAGTACCACAAGTGTAGTATCTCTAATGGCTCACAAACACCAAGAGCAAATGGAGAGACAATAGAGAGAGGGAGGAGGTATCGCCCCTAAGAACCCTTTAGGAAGGCATGGACAAATTCTTATGGCCTTAGGGGTCTTTATATAGGTGTATAGATTAGGGTTTCAGTCCTTATTCTTATCTAGTTGCTTGCCCACCAAGCAATCATAAGATAAGCCTTGAAAACCCTTATCCTTTGGACGATTTCAAGGATATCTTATCCCTTGAATTCGTCTAACCCATATCAAGGATAACCATTACCTTATTTTGTAACTATCACATAATTACAATTCAGCCCCTCTAGTTTAATTAATTACATTTGATAATAAAATTAATTCTTAATTAATTATTGACCAATATTAATTAAACAAATATGATTTCTCCTTTAATATATTATTCTTATAACATATTAATAAATAATAATAACCTTTTTCTCTATTATTTCTCCAGTCAAGTTGCTTTGGTGAAGACAACCCAAAAGAACCATGCACAATCGGGTCAAGTATTTACCTAATATGGTTATGGGCTTAGACACTAATCTAACAGTCTCCCACATGGATAAGTCTAGTAACCACAAATGTAAGTACAACTCGATTAGCAATCGTAGCTCTCAAAGACGCTGTCGAACTCTGATCTTATCAGTAACCTATCCTTTAGATAAGGGATCATATACTCCTCCATTCTAGATATCGTATAGACGTGAGACATGAATCGAAATCATTCTCTCAATCTATGTATTATTTCCCGATTTCTGATTTACGATGACTGACTAATTGAACAAATCAAATTAGCCCAAGCCCGGCCGAGCTTTTATGTTTGTCATCACTAAATCATCGAGGGGCCCACATATATCGCTTTTATCCCTCTTTGGGTAAAAGGAATGGATAAACTTCGACTCAATGCTTGCTTGCACTCACTCACCAAATCACACACAACAAGAAGTTTTATAACACCAAGTTACTGGTACGTTTACATATTATCAATGTGCAACCGATTCGCAAGATACAACTCACACATCTTGGTTTCAAGAATACAAGATATTATCATCTCACCAATCGCTCGTGACAAAATTCATGAAACAATCTAGGTGAGCGTGGGTTTAATCCAATGCTCAAAATCATATTCATAAGTACTCATGAACATTGCATCAAACCTTTGCTATGTCCAATACACTTTAGACAATCTACAAACTAATTCATGACAATCTTCTTTCATACCTACTTCCAACGTATGACCGACTGTAGACCGTTTGAATAATTCTATTATTCTTAATAAACTCAATTATTCTGGAAGTCAAAACATGCAAAGAGAAAAACAATGATAATACTTAATCTTATATGACCCCAAACTTGTGAGTATAAATAAAACACCTTTATTTAATCACCATATTGATTACTCATTATCCATTGTTTAACGTTTCAGATAATCAACTTTATAACTCGAATCATAACCACAATTGTCCCATGCTCCAAGCATGCACACTTTGGTTTCCTATGGTCCATACTTTGTGAAATAGATCAATTAAAACTTTTCAAATGAAACTCATTTCACAATCCCCAATCTTTATAATTAGTGTAAGAATACCAAATTCTTGCCACCTTTTAGAATATGTCAAATTCTAATATTCTATTCAGTGATTCTCTTGTGAAGTCACGGCACAAAATCACAAGGTACTGTGAAGTCACGACACAAATCTATCATAACTTCCTAAGCTCAAAATCTGATCTTTGAATCCATGCGATCGTAATCCATTTCTTCGTGATCAAACTCATCTTGCTCTTCCATCAAACTTCCTTTCTTTTTTCTCTAATCCTGCAAAACATTCAAATGTAATCTTATCACATTATGTATAAAGAATAAGAATTTAATGGAGTTAGATAGTGGATTTTATACTTGAAGTAGAGCCATACTTCTTGACTCTCTCATCTCTTAGACTCTTCAGGTCCTTTGGGCAGCTTCGTATCCATTTGCCCTTCTCTTGGCAGTAGAAACAGGTGGGTTCTTCTATAATGTCCATGGAAGCATGGTTGGTTCAATTACCAGACAAATATTCTCCATTACTTCACCAAATCATTTCTGATTCAGTAGCAATAAGCATATAAGTTAAGTCAATGAGGGTCGCGTCAAGATCCATCATATAATACTCTCTTTTGAACTTATCATATAATTTAGGGAGTGACTAAAGAACCCAGTCCACAACCAACTTATTGGGAAAAGACGCACCCAACATAATCAACCTATCAATGTGTGATTTCGTCTCTAGGACGTGAGCACACACGAGTTTACCATCTTCGTGTTCCATTGCCAATAGGGTTTCGGTGATCTTGAACCTTTCAAATCTTCGATCTTGTGGGTCGGGGAGAACAACGGGAGGAGGAGGAGGGAGTGAAATCAAGCTAGTCATCATTGATCCTTCACTTTGGAACAAGCTTTTACTTTCAACAGGAACACCTTTTCCTTGGGATTCGGGAAGACCACGGTTAGAGTCAGACATCTACAAAACGGGAGAAATTTCAAGTTAGTTGATTGAATCCTTAATGAAACACCCAAATGAGACATTAAGGCTAGGATCCAACAACATTATTTACACATTAGAAGAGGGATGTCGTTATCCAACATGCAAATAATTTGGAGGTAAGTGAATGACGATTCACTAATTGTTCACCATGAAAAAAAAAACATAAAGGCTTAAGTTTTAAATGTATTAAGAATTCCTAGATTTTCTTTAAGATTCATTGAACTTTTCAATGGCATGTTTAAATCTTGATATGCCCTTCTCGTTTGTGGCTGGGATGCCGAGGATCACAAAGTGGGTATGAATAACCATGC